CCCCCCACCCCTCCTCTCTCCCCTCCCAGCGAGAGGACCGGCACAAAGTGCGGAGATTCCTCCAGGAGTACAAGAACGACATTGACGAGATCTTGGCAGCCAGTCTGTGAGTTGTGGATGGTTGGCGGGCGCTCTGGTGTGGTTTGCTCCTTCTTTCCTATCTAACATCTATCGTCCTTATCTCCCCTCCATTTTTATGTTTGTTACTATCTTGTAACACCTCTAATCTTCTGGCGCTCATTTGACCTTATGCAGTTGCGAGCGCCGTAAAACCTCTACTAAAACCTCTACTAAAACCTCTACTCGAGCAAAAAAACACACAAAACAATCTCGTGGCATAGATAAGGCTTTGGACTGTATTTATAGTAGAATGAGGGTGATGATGGTGTTAATGATGAGGACAATGACGACGATGATGATGATGATGATGACAATGACGATGATGATGATGACAGTATAGTAATCAAATGTGTCATGACATTATGGAATCAGGCGCTCATCAAATTTTGGGCATGTGTGGAATTATTGGTATCATGTGAAAGCTTTTTCATTTGCCTTGCTTTTAATGAGAATAATACCCATCTATCTTGAATAGAAGTGGAGATATTTATGATTGAAGGAGGTGGGGTTGTCTGGTTTCAGTGGTAAAATTAGCCAGAAAATGACTGCCAAAGTTTGGTAATTTGACTAGCTTGAAAGTCCTTGAAAACAGAAAAATTACTTGTTGTGTGCTTTGAATCAATGTTTTTCAGTAGAACTATTTATATGGACATGAAAGGTGTTGAGCCAAAACACAAAAATTTTGATAAAAAATTGTCAAATTCGATTTCATTATTTTGACGAGCACTTGATTTCACCACGATGCCTCACAATTCACAAGTCATGCTATTTCCACAAATAGATCAGAAATGGTCCATGAATACACTTCCCCATCCCCCTTCCCCCATCTCCCCTTGCTCTCAACCCCCTCCCTCACTCAACCACCCCACCCTTCCCTTTCCTTATCCCCCTACCCCTCCACCCCCATCCCTCACCCACCCTCCC